TTTCTCACAGGAGTAAGTCACAAGTGCTCAGAACTTTTATTGCTGAACATAAATTAAATGTAAACATATAACATATAAAAGTATATTTAATTTTTAGAAGGAAATCCTTTGTTGTTGTGCATTTTAAGTGCTATCCCACCTGAAGGCACAGAATTCATCAACATTAAGGGTTCTAGATCCCCCTGTGGTGTTTTAGGCCTTGAAATGTGTCTAATTACAATTGGTTTAATAGCTTTTCTCACAGAAGAAAGTCACAAGTGCTCAAACCTGTTAATGCAGAATATAAATGTATAAATGCAAATATATAATCACATAACTAACCATGTCATTGTCTATGTAAGTATGTAATAATATATGAATAATTATGTAACGTAAACAGTGTTCAGAACTGATCTTTCATATTCAACTTCTAGTCAAAATAGCCATTAAGTAAATGTTATTCACCTCATAAGATACTTTATTTGCATAAGTTGAAGGAACATAAGTGCACAAAACAAGAGTTTTCAAAACTGGAGTTCAAAAATATATTAAAAGACACTGAGAAATTGGGACTAATGAGCATGCAAGAGGTGGTAGACCACCAAAACTGCCCCCATCAGATAAACAACACTTAAAGCTTTTATCTTTGAGGGAGAGGAGAAAATCAAGCTCCATTCTTGGTTCAGATCTGAGACAATCCACAGGAGTTTCTGTCCATCCTTCCACTGTGAGACACTCAGCACTATGAGTCTGAAAGGATATTCAGCTTTCAGGAAGCTCTTACTGAGAAAAGGAAATAGACAAAAAAGAAGAGATTTTGCACTAAAACACCAAAACTGGATTTGTGTAATGTGTGAGATGTATTTAACTGCATTCTCTGGAGCTCCAGTACCTTTGGGATAAGTTGGAGTGATTCAGAACTAATGACTCAACATCAGTGCAATGCAATCATATCCTCACAGCAATCTAGTGTAAGGCCTTCCCAGAAGAGTAGAGGCTGTTACTGCAGCAAAGAGTGAAACAAGTGTCCTTTTTCACACCCCTGATTTCAGAAGAAACGCTGGATGAGCAGGTGTCTACAAACTTTTGGACGTACAGTGTATGAATGCTGCAGCACATGGACGCTGTTTGTCTGATTAAGTGATGAACTAGGCTCTTCTGGGTTTTCATCTGGCTGCGGCTTTCTGTGCTATTTTTAGGCTGCGAACTGCTGTGCTGAACAATTTCCTGCACACATATTTTGATTTAGTGATATCAAAGAAGCCGCTGTTTTCTCTAACGCCACCACACTCTTACGGTTGCTCTGGTCTCTCTCTCTCTCTCTGTTTCACTATGACTTGTCCCATTCATGAAATACCAAAAGGCACTGCATGAACATTTAAAAGAGTCTAGGATTAGTCATCGTTGTGGTAGACTAAACAATACAGTGCTCGTATAAATATCAGCAGTATCAATTACAAGGAATTCTGCCATTAGTGTTTCACTGAATGAGGAATCTTTATCGTAGGCCCTCTTTGTATTTGATATGCTAATGTTGTAGCTGAACAGCTTTTTTAAACAACAGTCCACAACCGAAGTGTTTGCTTTTGATTGAGCTCAAAAAGAACTTGTTTATAAACTGAATTAATAAACTATAAACTGAATTAATAGCAGATTATGACACTTTTGTGACCGGTACTGATATTAATGTGCTCAAATTTTGATAACGATATTATAAGCCAATATTTTTTTAACATATTTCAGATTAAGTGTTTCGTTCATGTTAAAGTTAAAGTGCTAAACAAACTAAAAAGACTGTCAGTCGATGAATTGTTAAATATGATTGTCAGCTCTCCACTGCCACTTTACTACTGGGTTCATGTTGAGGATTCATAACAATATAAAACGATGCTTTATCTGCAGCAATTTTGCAGTAAGTGGGATTAGAGTATGCTGATATTATTGGTTGAGCCCTACTTAGTTGTGATTACACATTGGGAAGAGAACAGTCTACATAGACCAAAGATGTTTCTACATAAGATAAGAATAAACAATCCAATGTGATTTGAGCTCTGAGCCCCAGCCTGATTTGAACTGAAGGAGAGGGAGGGCTGCGGTCAACACGTATCATCATAACTCAGTCAGTCAGTCCGTTAAGTTAGCCAGAGGAGTCGGCCAAGAATTGCAGAGTTAGCAACCCAGCAGTTTGTCCTTGTCCTTTAGTAGTAGAGTCCTTCACAACTCTAAAGGCTCATGGTCACAGGCACAGAAGTGTCAGCTGCTTTCAAAGGAAATGAATGAAAACTGTGGGCTCAGTACTGCTCTGTGTGCATGTTTCAGAAAAGCATACCAAAGGACTTGTGGTCAAAGTATTAATAGAAATTTGATACAGAGTGAATACAGAGGCCAGGATCCTTCAAAGGTTAAGGCCCAACAAGTCAGTATACTGCTGTACTGTATATAAACTATACCTTTGTATGAACCATTCTACTGAATGATTTCAAACTGCAGTCTGAAGTTAAAAAAGGTATTTTGATCTATTTAAACTCAAGGTATAAACTGAGCGAGTAATAAGCTTATTTTCCCAAATCCTAACTTCTAAATTTTAACTTGTGAAAATATTTTTTTGCATGTTTTTATATACCTTTTTTAATTTATTTCAAGTTGAAAGATTTAGATTCATCAAGAGTTTAATGTTTAAATAAAAATCCAAAATGCTGACCCATGTTTTCATGTCACCACCAGAACAAAAAAAAGTTTTAGCCCATAGATGGAGCCTAATTTTAGCCTGCATCCCTGTCCCTCAAGGCCACATGGTGAGCAATTAGATCCCATTGTTTTGTAGCAAACCCGTCCCAAAGTCTGAAAATCAGTGTGTAACTTTAGGAATTGCTCAAAATGAGCTAAAACAGTCACTATTAAAACAGTCAATATATGAGTCTGGTTCCTAACCCAGTCCTGTAACCCCAGAGCCACTAAAATGTAGAAATTTTGTATCGAATCATAGAAAATTTGCGGTGATTTTAGCTCCATTTTTGGAGTTTTTCCCTTTCTTTACATCATCTAAAAATGCCAGTTGCCCTTTACATTCCCTGATGAATGGACCAATAGATGGTGTCCTAAATGAATTGGAAAAAGGTATTTTTACATTAACTTGAATTGTAAGTGAAGAACTTTCTTTGTGTGCATTTGTTTCAAGCACACACACACACACCACACACACACACACACACACACACACACACGCATACACACACTCACACACATACACCTGAGGATATAGGTGAGAGGTGACGTGTGCTGTTCTTGAACGTGGGTGTGTGTGTCTGTGCTGACTCACTTCACATTAACATATTCAACAGACAGTGATGTCTTTCCTTCTCCAAACAGGTGTTGGGTCGGGCTGCCAAGGCCCAGGTGCTTGCTGTTTTGTTTTTTTTTCCTCATTTGAGATGCAATGGTTTCTGCTCCTCACTTCATCATAGATATTTAGAAGAAACAAGCAGACTGAACGAGGTCTATGATGAGATATTTACACTTACACTTAAGGCACAGACAGTTTCTGTGCCTAATTTGTCTTCTGGAGTAACATCAGTGAGGTTGAATTAACATTATTCAGGGTTCATTTGTGTTTATGTGGACTGTTTCAAAGGATGTTTTTATTTCTGTCTGATTCAATCATTTAGATGTAAACAGAGTCATTCAGAGTGGTTTGATGTGAAATGGTGCTTGTACAGAAACATACAGACAGATTTCTTAACAGTGGTGGTGATAGGAACCAGGGGTCACAATGCCTACAACACAAATCAAGCCGTTTTATTTACTACCTTAAATAAATCATAGTGACAAATCGGGGGAAATTTCTTTGGATACAATTTCACCTGTCATGCCTTGCATGTGAGGTAGTTCTTAGAGGCATTCAATGTTTTGGACATCTGGTTACTACCACTATTATGATGAGCAATTCTAACTCAGTAAGCTTCTCTAAAATGGAGCATTTCACATCAAACCACTCCTTTGCCTTTGTTTACATCTTAACCATTTAATTGTGCACAAATTTCAAAATATCAGTGGAATTCCCCTTTAATTCAACAATGGAGATTATGGACGAGCTAATTGAGACTATATTGCTAGTGTAATGTGTTGGACTGGATTGCTACTCTGCATGTATAGCTTACAGGGGAAATCCACAGATTTTTCAAAATTTTCCCATAATTTAAACCAAGTCCTTCACAGTGGTTTGATGTGATGTAGCTCATTGCAGAGAAACGTACAGACTTTTGATTTCTTTATGGCGGTGCCGTCATGTCTTCAGCACAAATATAGCCATTTTATTTACTACCTAAAACCACCAGTGAACCTACACGTGTCTCCTGAGTTTATATACGTAATGTTGATGATGGTAAAATAATCATAAATCTGAAAAAAAAAAAGTTTTCTTCGGGGACTATTTTGCCTTACAAGGCCCTGCATGTACCCCTCCTGAAAAAAAAGGTTTAAAATAAATGAATTAAAATACATTTTTATCACAGTTTATTCATAAACTTTTCATGTAATACATTTCTGTGAACTATTCTGACTGGGCAGGTTTCTCTGGAGCAGAGCATTTTCGCCAAACCCACTCTGAATGTCTTTGTTTACATCTCAACCACTTAACTGTGTAGAAGTTTAGAAAAATCGGTGGAGTTCCCCTTCAAAGCAGATTACGTGAGGGAATTTAGCCCCTAAACGTCAGCTCCCTCGGATTTAGCTCGTTTTATAGGTCTGTGACGACCATAATAGCGAGCTGCTGCTGTTGTTGTTGTTTTTTCTTCCCACCCGTAGGAAAGTTTGCTAAAAGTGTCCGGGTTTTTAAAACCGTCTCGGCCGCTTTTGTGTCTCGAATGTGGAAACACGAAGACGCTAGTCCTGTTTTTCTCTCTCTCATGGGCTTCCTGGCAACGACGCGCACGGGGAGGGGGGGGGTGTGGGGCGTGGCGCGGAAAGTTCTTGGCCAATCGGCGTCGCTCTTGTCGCTCGCACGCGCCCTGCACAACTTTATAAACACACGCATCGACCCGTCAAGCGGTTCAGAGCGGAGCGGAGTGAGAGAGCGAGTGAGGGGAAGGAGGCTGTCGGCTTGTTTTCTTTTCTAGCCAGTGATTATTTATTTGTTTTTTTTTGGAAAATAACTGTCTTTTCGGGAGCCGAGGACTTTCGAGAACTACAGGACTGCACCTCGAGACAGCTGTCGACTTGGTACAGTAAAAAAAGAAACAAGTTCTTCAACTATTTTGGAAGTTTCTCATTCATCTCACTGGGCTTTCCGCTAGCCTAGCATTTTACGGAGCAAAGGGAGATGTTTGGACTGTAACGTTAGCATTTAGCCATGAATTAGATCTCTCTTGAAGACTTTTATGCGCTTTCTAAGCTCTAAAAGGGTGCTGTTTACCCTTTGATTTTAAAATCTTGCAGACTTTAGTGTGGTGGGTGTGTGTAGCTGTGAGGGTATCGATTCGATTCATTCATATATGCCAACAACAACAGCATCAACAACAACAACAGAAAAATGGAACAACCGTTTTATCATGACGACTCGTTTCTCTCTGCTTATGGCCACCCAGACGCTGCTCTGCACGACTACAAGCGGCTAAAGCAGAACATGAGCGCCGGCTTCGCCGAGCCATACCGGAGCCTCAAGTGCCTGCGGCCGGACAGCGACTTCTACGCGGCTGGAGCCGGAGGAGCAGGGGACCCGGTTTCTCTGAAGCTCGCTTCTCCCGAGTTGGAGAGGCTCATCGGCGGCGGCGGAGGCGGCGGAGTGATCACCAGCCCGAGCCCGGGCACTGGCACCGGAGCCGGTGCCGCACCGGTCCAGCAGCACGTGTACGCGCGCACGATCGCCGAGGATCAAGAGTGCTTCGCGGACGGCTTCGTGAAGGCGCTGGACGAGCTGCACAAGATGAACCACGTGCCTCCACCCAACGTGGCTCTCGGAGGAGCCGGCGGCGGCTCCTCGTGCGCCGGTGCACCTGTGTTCCCGGACGCCCCGGTGTACGCTACGCTGAACAGCTGCCATCCCAACACTACCCTGCCTCCGGCGGCGAGCTACCCCACGGCAACTATCAGCTACCTGCCCCAGTACCACCACCACCATCAGCACCAGCACCACCACCACCAGCCCCATCACTTCCAGCACGCGGCCAGGCTCGCCGGCTTGAAAGAGGAGCCGCAGACCGTGCCGGACCTGCAGGGAGACGGCTCTCCGCCTACGTCGCCCGTGGACCTGGAGGACCAAGAGCGGATGAAGGCGGAGCGCAAGCGGCTGCGCAACCGGCTCGCGGCCACCAAGTGCCGGCGACGGAAGCTGGAGCGCATCTCGCGCTTGGAGGACAAGGTGAAGGTGCTCAAGTCCGACAACGCGGGGCTCTCGAGCGCCGCCACGCTTCTGCGCGAGCAGGTGGCACAGCTCAAGCAGAAAGTCATGACGCACGTCAGCAGCGGGTGCCAGCTGATGCTCGCGCCCAAAGTCAAGACGTACTGAAAATGGACATTATCGAGAGGGACAGTGACTTTTTTACAAAAGTACAAATGTTTGTGATGAAAATGCATTGTGTGTGTGTGTGTGTGTGTGTGTGTGTGTGTGTGTGTGTGTGTTTGGTGATGGGCCAGATCAAGTCTTACTGAACGGACAGTGACTTTAAAAGGTGTCAGTGTTGAGGTCTGCTCGCGCACAAGATCAAGTCTCCCTCAAAGGACAATGACTTTTTAAAAAGAGTGGTTGTGCGCGCGCGTGTCTGGAAGAGGATGCGGTGCAAAAAATGCATTTTTCATGCAAACAGTACTTCAGCACTTTTGTGCATTTGTGTGTGTTTTCCTGTAGAAAACTATATTGTGTTGCTGCCTCTTGTTTTGTAAAGCATTTCCTTACTAAAAAATACTTTGTTCGTCTGGTACTTCCAAATGAAATGAAATGAAATGCGTAGGAAAGCAATCCTGGGACTGTAGAAGCACTGACTTTAAAAAAAATGAGGGATAGAAAGAGAGAAAGAAAAAGGAAAACATCTTAAAATGAATTTGTTCACATGTACTTGTGCGTGATATCCTATGAATACATTACAGTAAGTTATTGTCACTGTTTACGTCTGGTTGATCCGGACAAAACACTGTAAATGTTTCTTTTTTGTTTGTTTGTTTTTGTTTTTTTGGGGATTTTGTATTTAAGTAAAAGCCTTTGAAACAACATCCAAATGCTTACGAGTTGTCTGTGATAAAACAGTGGTATTAATATATTTACATTCAAGATGAAAAATATGTGAGGTGTAAAAAAACAAAAAACAAAAAAAAAAAACTAGTCGTGCGTGTTCACGTGGGCAGCTTTACGCTCGCGACGTGCCCACGTGGGGGCAGTTTCTTGCTGACGTAGAGTCCAAATAAGGGCAGATGTGAAGCACGTGCGTCACTGGTGGTAGATGTGCCGGGAACCCCCGCCCACACAGTTTTTTTTTTACACTTTATTTTTTTCGATTATTTCCCCTTTGAAGTGACGTGCGAGTGAATGAGGCATGTTGTGTGAATGAGAGAAGCTTTTGGGGAATTTCCCCCCCGCACACTCAGCGCGCTCTCAACTTCCCAAAACAGTTTCAGCGAAAAGAAAACGAGATAAAAATAAGAGCGCAGGCCATTTTCCAGGTAGCTGGCACAAAATTAGAGCTATCGCAAGCACAAATAAGATAAAAGAGCTGAAAAACAGGTTAGAGAAACCGGAGAAAAACACGTCCTTGATCCTAAATATAGATAAATATAGTTGCTTGTATTGGCATTTTATACAGGCCCTGTATAAACGCCGGATTAGGGCCCTGTGGGCGATATGGCAAAAATAAAACATCACGATTCTTCAAGATTATTTGATACTTATCATGTATCACAACATTTAGCTTGTCTGGGGTTTCATAAAGTAAGGCAGCTGAATAAAAAGGAACAGTATTTGTCCACCACAGCTGTACATTTTAAAAATACTATTAAAAACTATGAATATCATGATTTATATTATATATCTCACATACACTGAACTACAGCCCAAGCTAATTAGAGCTAATTATGCTCCCTTTGTACTGTAGTATTAAGTTGGTCAGCATTAAGTACTATCTACATATCCACTGTATATGCTCAGAAAAGCGTATCGTGACGTAATATCCCGTTACTGAGAGATATTATATGGTCACACGGCCCAGCGCCCCCAACACACACAAGGTTGTTTCATATTGGCTTTGTATAAATACAAATACACGGTCTAGAGAGAGAACACGGATGACGTCATAACGGACAACCCGATAGAATTATGACGTCATAATATAATACATGCCTTCGCCTTATTCCCAGATAGCAAGCAGATATGGGTCCGCTGGCTTGAAAAGGTCAGCACCCCACTGACTGTATACCACAGCTGGTCCACATTCAGACCACCCAGAATATTGTCCTGCATACCCCTGATAGCAAGAGGATAGTGGACCACTGTTGGCCGGCTGATGGCAAAGCTGGCAGTCCACTGGCGTTTTGCTCAGCGTTTTCTGGGGGGGGCCCACCGGTGTTTAAGCAGAGTATTAGACAAAATTCCACTTATCATCGCTCATTTTCCACTCACAGACCAATTTACTTATACTTCATCATTTTAATCTAGAACAGTGTCACCAACAACGGATTTTCTATAAAATCATTTTATATCAGGCCTAGTCATTATTTTTTTCCTCAGTTGTTTGATATTTGTTTATTTTCTAAACTAAAAGTCTGAGTGCTTTTAAAATTTGTTTGAGGAGATTAAAAAACTAGTTAGAGCTTGTAAGCAGGAAAATAATTTGGCCAGCGGACCGATATATGCTCGCTATCTGGGTACAAGCTCTAACTAGTTTTTAAGCTCCCTGAACAGATCTTAAATGCACACAGACTTTAATTTAGAAAATAAACTTAGACAATTATTACAACTGAGAGAAAAAACAAATAGAAGTAGGCCTAATGTAAATGATTCTATAGAAAATGTTGTTGCTGACACTGAACCAGATTAAAACTATTTACTAATTTACTTAGTATAACTAAAGAAAAGAAGGAAGGAAAAATAAGTAAATCGAACTGTGATTCTCTGAAATGAGCGATGATAAGTGGAAGTTTGTCTAATATTCTGTTTAACCACCGGTGGGCCGTCCGGAAAACACAGAGCAAAACGTCAGTGGACCGCCAGCTTTGCCATCAGCGGGCCAACAGTGGTCCCCTATCCTCTTGCTATCAGGAGTCTTATGCCCCATGATGCTTTGAGTGACTTGTGAACAAAACTTCAGGCAAGGTGTAAACAAGACAAATGTTAAAAACAAAATTAACACCCTAATACGATAGAAATGTGGGAATAAATAAAAATAGAAATATAAATGATCTTTGTTGTTGGGATGCTTCAACGCTTGTGTGCTGATCTATCAACAGAAACCATAGACTGTATATGACAGAAAGCTGAACCTGTGTGAGAGAAACTGTTTAGTCAGAGGATTCTGTTTATAGCCTACACAGTTCTTATAAAGTCATTTTATTTCAGTATCAGATACAGGAATAAAACTGTAAAGTAGAAAACTGTTAATCGCTTAAGGTTTTTTTAAAATGACCACCACAGTTAGTGCCAGGCTAGCATGGTTTGCACATCACTGAATTCAACTTTGAGGTCAGTTCTAGTTTTAAAAGATACTGTAAGCTCACAGCAGTAACCTTTTTTTACTTTGTATGTCTCAGTTTTTAAGCAACCCCTTCTGTGAAGGCTTGAACTCAAATTCTGTGTATGATTGGATCATTAGCCTGTTAGCTTTCTGCTCATCTGCTCAGCCTTCTCTGGTGAGGGCTGAGCATATCTAGAGAATATAATGTGTAACCCTGTTAAAGACAGTCTGTTAGCAGCAACCAGTGTCTTTGGTGTCACAGGTGCTCACCAGGCTATTCTGGGTTACCCATTTGAGACATATATAATTTAATGTTATTACGTAACTGAACAACAACTCCGTGCCTTTTCCAAGGTAGCATTAGTGAGCCAAGCCCAGTCTGTGTGGCCATAAACAGAACTATGACAGCACCGTGCTAAAGAAAGCGCTACTCAGGAATCACTGCAAATGAGGATGGTCTTTAGTATTGCAGTAAGAAATGGCTCAAATATGTTTACCATGCTGTTACTTACAGAGGACTTTGTTCTGATGTGACAAATTTAAGATAAAGTGCTCCTCATACAACGCAGATTACGCCTCTTTCTGTGTGTTGGTGGTTGGACACACTCAGAATGATGGACAGAACTCATGTGGGGCATCGAATTGTGCACATCTAATGCATTTTCTGAAAAATAAAGACTCACTCCCAAAACTGTAACACATACAAAACCGATAATGTATTTCTCCTTGAATTGATGAAATACCTCCATCTAGTGGCCAGTATGCTCATTACATTTTAGAAATCCAAATTCTTTCTTCCTCGTCCTCCTCCACCCAGTACTAAAGTGAAAAAGGTGACAGGGATTTGGAATAAATATTCCCTAATATTCCTAATCAGTAATCAAATAGATTAGATATTGTAATCAATAACCAAATAAGTAGTATTGGCTAACAAAGAATATTAATTCTCTCACAAAGGGTAGGCCTTAGTCTGTCTGCATAGGAGATTCTAGACACAGGAAAGCCCCTGGGTTCACAGAGAGGCCTGTATGTACCTACTGACCCAGTGAAGAGAGGGGGAAGTTGACCTTAAAAGGTAAAGCAGACTGATAAAAACCGGTTGAAACCAGTTTTTAGGAGTGATCTCAACATGCAATGACCAAATTGATGGACGAAGAGATGCACCTATTAGAGAATGAGCTAATATCAAAATTTGATAAGGTGGGAGGATATCAAATTACCCCACATTAATGGAATATAAACTGTTGTTTGGAACACTGTATTTGCATAGTTGGGTCTCTCGAGACCCTGTGCCATCTGATGCTGAAATAGAGAAGAAGCTTTTTTCCCTCTTCCACAAACTCAGCGTCTGAAGACTCATTCCTTTTTGACATCTTTTGAGGAGTTAGACTTAGAACAGTTATGAGTGAAAGTGTTCAGCCAGTATTAAAAGATTTCTTTTTTTATTCATAATATTATGTTGGAGGCCTGGGGTTGAAAGGGATAGTCTCTGGTCCCGACAAAGGTCATGTCAGTCTCAACTGAGAAACTACAAGTTTATGTAACACCATCTTCTTTATTCGACAACTTCAGCATGTTTAACAACTTCAGATGGCAGGCTTTGACGATCAAGTACAAAATGCTTCCCAATCTTCAACAGAATGAATGAAACTGAGACAAAAACTACAGAAATTTCAGTGCATGGGACTACCGACTTACCAGATAACGTATTTAGATGAGGTAAAGGGAGACGGGAACAGTGTTAATGTGGAAATCTCTGTCTAAGGCTTGTAAAGGGGAGAAAAAGAACACCAGGGTTGCCAGGACTAACAAGAGCTCAGTGAGTAGCGTTAAGTGCTTCAGTAGTTCCCTGCTGTATCGGAGTCTATGGGGCTGACACAGCAAAGGGGTTACTGCTTGGAGAAGAACTCCTTGCTCTTCTGAACGTCAGGGATAATAGTGTCGCTTCCGGGCTTCCACCCAGCAGGGCAGACTGTAAATAAAATAAAAAATAAATAAATAAATATTTTATTTACAATATATTGGCAATAGCTGATTGGACAACATCACTGCACTTTTTTGTGTTTTTTTCCCTGCTTTAGCTCAAGTAAATTAGTGAAATTAGTGCAGTATAATGATTTTGTTCATTTTCTAAGTGAAAATAATCCTCTACTGAGAACACACGTCTGCACATTTTAATACAGTTACTGTTTTTTTTTGTTTTGTTTTGGTTTTTTTTTGCTGAGTTTAACATATTGGGGAAAAATTAAGCAGAAAATGAGGGCTGTGTAAGAGTTACAGCACATTTTATATTTTCTTTTTTCCCTAATATGTTAAACTCAGCACATGCATAGAAACTGTGCACTACTTGCAGAAAAAATGCATATTTAAATGTGTTCTCAGTAGAGGATGCATTAACAATTTTTTACTTAGAAAATCAATAAAACATGCAACAATGTGACGGGGGGGTGTTCAAGCTTTTGCATATGACTCAGTTACTGTGTACGTTAGCAGCAGTAAAAGCAGCATACTGAACTCACCTTCTCCGTGCTTGTCAGTGTGCTGGAAGGCTTGGACCAGCCTGAGGGTCTCATCAACTGAGCGACCCACTGGCAGGTCATTAATGGTGATCTGTCGCAGGATGCCCTTATCGTCAATCACAAACAGCCCTCTGCACAAGAGTGGACCAGACAGTTGACTGACAAGGTAAATGCTATCATACTGTTACAATATCATGCTTCCAAGTTATAAACAAACCAACAGAAGTCAGGTTGGGGACTATGCTGCAAGCTTATCAGTCTTTGACTACAAGTTCATGTCAGCTTGCATGTGATTATGTTGCACTCTGATAAATAACTTCAACATTCACATACCTGTATTACATGATATGTGTACCACTAAACAGCAAGCATAAGCTGACAGCGTGCATAAATCATATTCATCCAGCACTCAAACATTTACTGGCTCTTTTGTTCAGACTGAAAATATAGCACAACTGCATCAGAAGCTAACAGTGTAACCTCAGTACATACCTGTAGGCAATGCCCTCATCCTCCTTCAACACACCGTAATCATGGGAGATAGACTGGGTCAGGTCAGCCACCAGGGGGATTTTCATGGAGCCCAGTCCACCCTGTTTTCTTGGGGTGTTGGTCCTAGAGAGAGAGAGAGAGAGAGAGAGAGAGAGAGAGAGAGAGAGAGAGAGAGAGAGAGAGAGAGAGAGAGAGAGAGAGAGAGATGATGACACTATGGACAATCAGCAGACAGAACACTAATGATGTCACAATGGCGAAAAGGAATATTTCGTTTGTTTGCCAATCAGCAGACAGAACACTAATGATGTCACAATGCGAAAAGGAATATTTGGTCTGTTGTCCAATCAGCAGACAGAACACTGATGTCACAATGGTCAATTGAACACTAATGTGCTGGACCCCATCTGTACACATATCATTCATTTTTACACTCTAATCGTATAAATTTCATTAAATGAAACTTCAGTTTCAGCGTAAGTTTACTACCTTGTCACAAACTTACTGTTTCTGAGCTAAAAAAAGATATGTAATGAAAAAAGTCTAGAATGTTTCTAGCAAATCAGGCAGTTTGAAAGGTGTTTCAAGAGAAGGAACGTGTTAAGTGAAGGTCATAAGCAGTCCTAAACTCAATAGTTTTCTATGAAGCACCACCATACATCAGATTTTGAATTCACAGTCTGTTTAAATTAGTTCTGAATAATTTGAATACTCAAGTATTTGTTATGCAAAGGCCTTGAGATGAAAGAGGTACTGTTAACATACGGAAAATGTTAAAAGCTGATTTAGTTATAAAGGTTAAGAGTGCAACAAACCACAGAGCGATGAGACGATAAGATAAATGCCCCATGCAAATTGTGCGATAACAGGTTTTTACACCATGGAGGCACAAGTTTGAAACAAGTCATAACTATTATACATGCCTTAGATGCAACTCATCAGCTGCACGTAAGTGCAGCATAAGTGAAACGCAAGCAACTGGTGCTTCAGCTCAGTCATTTAACCACTTCAGGTGGAACATTCCTCTCTTTTTCTTCTTTTCTTTTCAAATTAAGTGAAAATTAAATAAGCCTGATCTGTAAAAAAAAGCAGCAGAATGGAAGAACAAGGCATGTGTCTAGCATAGCCTGTGTGAACTAATACACTGATTTAAACAGAAGCGCATCTATTCCGTCAGCTGCCTATTGGATAAATATTGAACTACAGTAATTAAAATTGTGGTTAGTTATTAAATGTATAGACTGTTTTAAAAGGTGATTTTGAGAATAGGTATTCAGGTGCTCACTGCAGAAGCACCAATGGGTAGTCAAAGTCTGTAAAATGCAGTTTGGGCCATCCTAATAACCTCTATTACTTAATTTACAAAAAAGACGTTCTTGATAATTAGACGGGAATTTGCATGATGATAATGCATATTTTAAATTCTCCCACTGTGCTCTCACAGTTAGAAATAGAACCTAATGGACATGCCCATTTATGTGAAGTCTTTTTGAAGTGTTCCTTGTTTCTCCTTTTTTCAATCAATTATTTTAAATATTTGGAAACACAGTGTGTGGTCTGTTATTGTTTATTAACATTTATACATTTCACTGTCCAGCATTTTGAAAGGTTCTGATTAATCATCAAAAACAGACAATTATTAATGCAACTGACAGTGACAGTCCTAGTTTGAATAAAGGTCTGCAGAAAGATCTAGAAAGCACAGCCGTTACTCTTTGCCCCTATATTCATGCAGCTCTGCCTTCTTGTCTGCTCTTGTTGGTCTTATCAGAGAGAAGCAGGTTAAGGAGGGCAAAATTAGATAAAAGCAGTGGCTGGCAAAGTTCCAGAGAGTGCAGTGAGTGACACGTACACATGTGCATGCACAGCACAGTGAAAGGTTCACTAGGTGTCCTAACGGTCTCCATTGTGAAAGCATTTGCTACTTGAAGGTTTAAAACTAAGAAATAAAGAAGTCTATATTTCCACCCTTAGTTAGCCCATAATACCTCAGGTTTGTCCCCACAAATCGGGCCTCATTCACCAACCATTCTTAAGAGGAAATGCCTTCTTAAAACCCATTTCTGCAGTTTTCACAAAGATTCTGAAATTCACCAGTGTTTTCTTATTTGGGATTTGTTCTTAGGTGAGAACAGAATCTGCACACACAAATCTGACACAGACGTTTTCTTAGGGCTTTTCTCAGTAACAGATATTGGTGAATGAGACCTTTTCTTATTAGGAGATCATGTTTGGCCCCATGAGACTAGAAACACTGCAGTTTCCACCCACATCCAAACAAAATCCAAACCAAAGCAGGCTATGCCCCAGTACTCCAGTCTATGACTATCTTTAGGACAAAAATGACATCTATATTGACTTCAGCTCCTCCTTCTCCCCCTTAAGTCTATCTACATTAAGTAAAAGTACCTTTCAGTTCAACTCTTTCTACCAGCTTGCCAGCTTCATCAGATGGCATACTAGTCAATATATTTACTTTCACCATTACGGTGAAAAACCACGAGCAAAGACACATACCATCTAACATACTGCAGTGGCTGGAACTGAAACGTACAAGAGGAAACCACTGAAAACAGGTAGTCACCAAATACACCTGAATCTGTCACAAAGGCATCATTTCATTCATGTGCGAGTACTCAGATTTTGAACAGTGGCAGCCTCCAGAGAGGTTTCTGCAAGCTTATCCAAAAAGCAATGGCAAAAAGACAACAGCGAAACAGAAAGTGAAGGCACAGGTAAATAAAACAAGCTGCCACCAAATGCCCTGTGTGGCCAAGCTGGTTTGGCCAGTGAAACAGAAACTGCCCTCCATCGATGCCAAAACATACTTGCCACTAGAAAATGCTGATTTTATGCCCTGGGTTAGAAGCAAACCTTTACTGGGGGTGTTTAGTACAACGAGTCATCTGAAATATCTAAATTAAATGACCTAAACAACCATGAAGTATTCTTCTCTGTCAACAGTAGTTACTAACACTTCACCCAAGCTGATACTATCCAAAACAAAAGCTAACATTATTAGTAACAATGTAACAATTAGATGTATTTTCTTTTACCAAAGTGTTTTGCAGCATATTTTATTGTATCGTTGCACTGTGACTAGCATGGTAGCTTGGACGTAACATAGTAGCTTGTGGCAAGAGCGTTAGTGTGGGAAACTGTAGAGCACAGCTTTTGCTTTAAAAAAAAAAATCACTTTTATGAACATTGCATAATGTTATGATTAATGCATACATTACCATATTAAAATATCTTATTTCTGCATTGAAAAATGTATTAAGACACCACTTTACCATATCTAACGAATTCTGCATTTTGTGTATCATCATACCCTAATTATTAGTAAACACAAACAAGATTAAGCTAATAATATAATAAGGTAAAGACTAGTTTTCACTCTGTTAATTCTGTTACACTGTACCTTTTTTAGTATTTAAACCAATAGCATCCAGCCCTGCAGATATGAAGGGAAATATTAGGTAAATAAAACGATTAAGTTTAGATTTAGAGTTAGCTACTTTCCTAACCGTGTTAGTTAGTGTAAACTATTCCTTCAAAACAAAAGAGTTAGTCAGTATTACAGATATGGTTACCTACAAAACCAACCAGTTTAGGTAGTTAGCTATCTAACACTCAACTCTTATTATATAATTATAATGATTATGGTTATGTCGCTACAATATGTGCTAACAAACATCTACCATTTAGCTAGCTAATTTAGACCATGTGCACTCTAGCTGCCTAGCTTCCACCTAAGCTTAAGCTCTGTCCAGCCTGGGGTTTGGCCTTAAGGGTTGCAGCTATACATTATGCTAGTGCTGAAATAAATAAAACTGATAGAGGCCTTTTTTCCATATCCTGTGTCCCATCCTGCTGTCCTGTGATGTTACTACCTCACATCTTTATAGGGAATGTGTTACCACTTCAAATCACACACTGTGGAGGGGACTGGAAATGTATGAGAAGACCTCACCAGGCCAGGTGGCTGAAGTGGGAGTCGGTGGAGGCAGCGATCACCTCACAGCCAATCTTGCGGAACTCCTCAGCACGGTCACTGAAGGCAATGATCTCAGTCGGGCACACGAAGGTGAAGTCCAGGGGATAGAAGAACAACACCACATATTTCCCTGTGTCAAAGAAAGCGTGAAATAAGATAAGATGAGAAATCTGCCAAAATTCCTCTCAATACATTACATCTATCTATGCAGGAGACAGAAAGTGAAAGAATAGTGAAAGAAGCAGGCATCCAAGCATAACAGAATGAATTAAATAAATCTAACGTCAGCTGTGGCTACACATTCCTGTGGCACCAATTAACACAACACACCTTAATCACTTAATACCTGACCGGTCACAGTTTAGCTAAACATGCATGGCTATATAAATACTACCTTTAAGAAATCATACCTAATAACTCCTAAATGACCAATGACTGGTCAAAGCCAACTATGCCAATCACTAACACTTTGGTCATTTTCCACTGGTTCTACATGTACAACAGTTTTCCCTCCATTTGGCTTCACTTTACCTCTGTAGTCGGACAGCTGGACTTCTTTAAACTCGCCATTCACCACTGCTGTGGCCTTGAACTGAGGAGCAGGCTGTCCAATTTTAGCGTTTCCAGCAGACATCTTCTGAGTCGATTGCTGCTGCAGGTCCAAAATAATTTAGAACAGTGCAGTTAGTAATCATACATCATCATATGTTATCATTATTGTTATAAAAGTCCCAACGTGGTATTCTCAGTTCTTCTGAAAAACTGCTTAACTGCATGTTTTATTTAAAAGGAGGTTATGATGGAGCTACCATCATACCATCGTGGCATGCCTGTCTAAGGTTTCACCATATTGTTCAAATCCTGCTGGGAGACTAAGGCTCTGTCTAAAAGCGCACACTACCATACAAAACAGCATGTCAAAAACAGTACACCACCAATAGAAGTCCATTCATTAGTGTAGTATGAGTAGTATAGTAGCATGTGGTTTTGAAAGCAGCTTAAAAATGCAATACTAGTATGGTTTTATTGGCAGTAGTGCCTTATATCATGTAAAAAACTGAATTTAAAAGAAACTACTGTACTATTTTTGAAAACTGTTTTGCTGATGCATTACATCTGTTCTGACCTACCAAACCTCAGAAAAGCAAAATGCAGTCGAATTAATCACATATTGTGAAAATGTTTTCAAGTACTGTGATATCTTTGCAATATGACCTGCCCCTACTGGCTTGGCATTTTGAACAGATGTACAATGGGGTACAAACAAGCCACAAACTGGCAACCAGAGGCAGACTTTCCATTACACAACAGTGATCCCTCTCTTTGTGGTACAACTAATATGTCTCTCCTTGATGACCTACCAAACATGCCCTTGATATCTGTACACTGAAGTAAATTTAAAGGAGAACTCCACCAATTTTTAAAAGTTCCACATTTGAAATGCACTGTTCTAGAGAAACTTGCTGAGTCAGAACTGTTCACAGTGGTGGTGATCGGAACCAGATGTCCAAAGAGTTTAATGCCTCTAAAACCTCCCTCACAGAAAGTCAATACACAAAATGGTTATGAATGTGCTGCCTGATATATTGTTTTATTATAGATTTGTGATAAAACTTTGGCTTAAAATGTCTTGTCAATCTGTTCATTTTAATCCAATTCATGGTGGAGGGGTACATGCAGGGTGTTCGAAGGCAAAATAGTCCCCAAAAATCCAGATTTTCCACCATTTTATCATCATCAACATTACATATACCAACTCAGAAGGCATGCATAGTTCACTGGTGGTTTTGGATAGCACATAATAGTTGTGTTGGTTATATTTGTGTTGTAGACATGTTGGCTTCCGTGTCCTATCACCACCACTGTAAAGAAATATTGACCCTCCACAACGAACCTTTTCACATCAAACCACTCTGAACGGCTTTGTTTACACGGAATTATGCAAAAAAAAATTCAGTGGACTTCCCCTTTAAGGCTAAACTCGTAACATACCAAAACCTAACAAGCATGCAAGAGCGCTCCCTCCCACCCACACTCGCAGCAAGACCACACACTGCAGGTCACATGCCTGTCAGTTGCTTTGCAGGGGCTTAAAGGAACAATGGGCTTCTCAAGACCCCTTATTCAACACTTGGATACAGCCAAGCAGCTCATTTCTGGAGGGATCAGACCCCAGACTAGAAGACAGGTGCATATCTGAAGCTAGAAAAGGTCAATGTGGGCCGTTCGTTGTTAACTTTTCTCAGAAACAGTTCACGCCCCTTCGTTGTTGGGTCGAGGACACTTGATACGACCTGGCACCATGACAAAGCACAATTTCTGGAGACCATTAGGCTGATGGTGTGGAAACCCGATAACTAGATAACTGGGCAGGTCAACGGACGAACAGATAGCGGCTAAGTCGGTCACACTGATATGAAGGCCACGGCTAGGGCGAGCTAACGACTTAGGTTAGCTAACGACAGCCAAAAGCAGTAACTTCACATTAGCCTGACTAAGGTCACTTTTCTAAACGTTCGGGTTTAAAGCAGGATAAAAGATCATTTTCCACAAATTTCTACATTTACAGCCCAAAGCTGCAGCTATGCAAGTGTTTCTTAGCAGCTAGCCACAGATAAGCTACGACAACATGCAGCTAAGAAGCTGCAGCCAGCTTCTTGTTCGAATTCCCCCGTTCCACCTTAAATGGTGCAGCGGTTACATGCTGGAGCCTCAGCAGCCAGCATGTAACTGCGGCACCATTTAAGGTGGAACGGGGGAATTCGAACAAGGAGCCAACTTCAGCCTCGTCCTGCAGCTGTGCAAAAAAAGCGAGAATATAAATCCAGTGCATGCATGAGAAACACAAACTAGGTGCTAATAACTGCAAATAATAATAATAATAATAATAAACGCATGGACCACCGCCACCACGCATGTGCAGAGCACTTTCTTTTGTCTGATAGTACAAACTTTAAGCTCTGAACCAGCCGAAGTTATTTAGCCTCGGTGGCCTCGCGTGATGCAACAGCGCTAAACTGCCATATAAACTTACATTTGGTGATCTTGAAAACTGAAAGCGGTTTTAGTTCGGCTGCTGCAGCTCCTTCTCTCAGTCAGTCTCTCCACACCGCACTCGAAGCACCGGCGAAGGAAGCTGCTCTCAGCCGGGGCTCGGGGAGTACAGCGGCGGAGGCGGATCTTGGGCGGACCCGCATATTAGAGGGCGGGGTTATGATTATCGCTGCTCACGATGCATTTAAACTGACACAATAATGAACTGCCTTTTAGGTCAGACAGGCAATTATTTATTATTATTAAAGGTAAAAAAGTCTACACAGTGATATTTAAGCGATAGGACACCAGAGGGAGTGTGTTATGGCGAAATAACATCATGGCTGTGATTTGGTCGCAAGCATGAGCCGTACATCATCACAGCCGTGATGTTTTTCGCGATAACACACGACCTCGAGTGTTTTATTGTTTTTATACAACAGTTAAATAAATAAAGTAAGAAATTAATAAACTGGGCCGTGAACGCGGCGTTTAATGTGTTTTAATGTTAGCAATTCCTTCCGCCAAATTATAGTTCCTTAAACAAGCAGCTCGTTGCTACGTCACACTCTAGTTTTTTCCTTGTCGGCTTGTTTTCTTCTATTCTATTCTTCTTGTTTCTTCCATTTCTATCCTTGCTCAGGGCGGTTACCTTAATTCTTGGTTCGTTATTTATACTTTCACTGCACTAATTCCTGTCTTACTTTGGCTTGAGCGTCTCCTACGGCTGTCAAAGTCGTTGCTTAGCAACGGCGTCTCAGAGGAGTGATACAGCTTCTCAACCAATCAGCTTGCGTGGCCGGAGCTAACTGTTGTATAATAAACGAATGACTTAGTAAGATCTTGGAAAACCAGGTCGTTGTGATGTCACGTCACGTCACAATACACTGTTCTGAGTACGTCCTGGATGACGTCATCGCTTAAAGAACACCGAGCAACTGCATGTTCCATCACAGAGAGAGCGTAATTAGGCCTGTTCGAGTTTTCGAGCTGTGCAGAGTGTGAAGTATGAAATAAAATGATTGTGTACATAGTTTTTGCTAGCGTTTAAATGTGCCACTGCTATTTCTTCTTTTCAACTTTTCAAACCTCAGAAAAACAAAATATTGTGACACATATTGTGATTATTTATTTATTTATTTATTTATTTAGCTTTTTGCTCTATCCGCTACACCTAAGCAGAAAAGGCAGCTTTTTTAAATCATACTGTTTTGTTTTTTGTTTTTTTGTTTTTTTTTTAGGCCTGTTTAGCTGAATTTCATGCTATGCAGAGTGTGAAGTATGAAATAGAATCATTGTATACATAGTTTTTGCTAGCGTTTAAATGTGCCACTGCTATTTCTTCTTGTTTATCACAACTTTTGAAACCTCAGGAAAACGAAATATCATAATGCATATTGTGATTTTATTTATTTATATATTTATTTATTTTATCTTTTTTGCCCTATTCCCTACACCTAAGCAGAAAAAGCAGCTTTTTAAAAATCATACTGTTTTTTTTTTTTTGTTTGTTTGTGGCCCTCAGTCTACATTGCCTTTTGGCCCCCTCAAGGCAAAGAGTACGTCTGGTTTAATGCTACTCATGGCAGCTATACACTGACATTTAAAGCTGGTAAGACATGTAAATTGTTTTCACTTTGCAGCCCTGGACTGTTAGGCTGTTAGGTTTGACACTGAGACACTGTCAGTCAAGGTAAGAAAATGCAATTTGTTCACACCCACACAGACGTTTTTGCTGAAATCTCTATTATACATATATAAAACCATAGTTTTTTTTTTTGTCAAAGTTCTGCACAGTTAAATAGTTAAGATGGAAACAAAGCAGTTCACAGTGATTTGATGTAAGATGGTGCTATAGGAACCAGAGCTTGTAAGAGACTGTTCTATGATCATTTTCAAATAAGGTTTTCAAGATGGAGAAGTTCTAGCAGGGAAGCAGGGATGGCGAACTGCAGTCCTGGAGGGCCAGCGTCCAGCACAGTTTGGTGATTTCCTTGCTCTTAACACCTCTACTAAACCTGGCAGAGTTGAATCAGGTGTGTTTGAATGGGAAAGCCACCAAACTGTGCAGGGCTCTGGCCCTCCAGGACTGCAGTTTGCCACCCCTGACCTAAAGAGAACATTTTCCCCCAGATTTTACTATCATGAACATCACATATATAAACTCAAAAGATGGGTGTAGGTCCACTGGTCATTTTGGATAGTACGTAAAATGGTTATAATTGCATTTTAGGCATCATGACCCCTGGTTCCTACCACCACCACTGCAAAGAAATCAGTCTGTATGTTTCTCTGTAAACCGCTATGAATGACTTTGTTTAAATTGTGGAGAAATTTTGAAAAATCAGTGGATTTCCCCTTTAAGCTATACTTGCAGAGTCAGTTTCTTTGCAATTAAATTAAGACATTCTGAATAAAAATGTCTCGATGACTTTGCATATCAGTGACCTTCCCCTTTAAAAGCGCTGCTGCTGGGCCTTTAAGAAAAACACGCTTGGAACTAGAACCAGAGCCGGTTCTCCGCTAGAACGTCGCACGCAGAGCGTCACGTGACAGGTTCGCGCCAATTCGAGAGTTTGCAACATCCGGGTCTCTTCTACTCTGCTGCACAGGTCAGATTAGCTCCGTCTGTTTGGTTTCTGTCTAAAGTCTGTGTTTCATAACTGTAGCTATGCATTTTGCAGCACAAACCTGCACTAATGAATCGGCACTGATCTGTGTTGAGATTCGGATCAGATATATGAAGTTCTGAACATGCAAACCTGCAGATTGTTGTCGTATAACACCCAGAGCGCCGGGCTTTTCAGGCTTTCTCTAACCTTTGTTTTCTAATGTAACCTTAGTCTTCTGAGAGTTCTGCTCACTACAAGCCACGAGCTGAGCCAGTTGGTCCCTTTTCGTTTTCAGCAGAGAGTATTCTCGTCTTTTGGTGATGCTAAACTATCAGTATTTCACCCTGTTTTTAGCAGCAGGGCCATTCACACACTGTGCTGTGCTGTGTGTCTCCAGTAGAGCTGGGATAAAACTCAATATCACGATATTTTCCGGATGTATCACAGTATCAGGTTATGTGTAAGTCTGAATTAATAACCTGGCATAGACCGTTCTGACACAAAACTACCTACTTTGTTGTTTTCCTTCTCTGGATTTTTTTAAACTATTCTTTCAAAACAATCTTAGGCGCCCAGTACATGACATGCATTACAGTTAAAGGGGCATTCCACCAATTTTTCAAAAGTTCTCAATAATTCAGTCCTTGAGATGTAAACAGAGTCATTCAGAGTGGCTTGTGTGAAACGGTTTATTGTAGAGAAACTTACTGACTCAGATTTCTTCACAGTGGTGGTGATAGGAACCAGGAGATCACGATGGCTACAACACAAATATAGCCATTTTATTTACTATCCAAAATGACCAGTGCACGTACATATGCCTTCTGAGTTTTATGTGTAATGTTGAAGATGGTAAAATAGTCATAAATCTGAAAATTTCTTTGGGGGACTATTTTGCCTTACAACACCCTGCAGGCACTCCTCATTGCGAATGGATTAAAATACATTTTAAGCCAAGCATAATCAGAAAACTGTCATAAAACAATGCCTCAGACTGTATTAATAACCATTTCATGGTTCGACTTTGTGAGGGAGCTTTTAGCAGTGGCTGCTTTTCAATTATACTGTACTATTTTTCAATTTTAATAATATTTTTAGAGATATATTCAGTAGATAATGAGCATTACATCCATGTCCCCCAGTATAACCCAGCTCTCTCTAATGTGACCATATCAGACAAAAACTGATTCATTAAAAAATGCTATGAAACATAAATCATTAAGTCTGATATTTAGTTGTAGTAATACATTCTTATTGTTCACAGTCTATCTAAAGTTTTCCGCTGTGTCAGTAGTTGAACTTCACAGTAGTGCAGTTTAATAAAATCTGAAGAAATGTGGAACGTTTTCAGAGATTAAGCTTTTTTTCTCTGCATCCTCTAAAGACATGAACCCATTGTCTTTTCTTTTGGGGCAGAATCAGCCACCTTTGAACAGCCATGGACTTGAGTGATTTTGAAACGGACAATTCAGTCAGCTGCCGTCTGGCCTCTGCTGTACCAGAGGCCTGCAAGAGCGAGGACTGTTGTCTGGGTATCGATGAGGCTGGAAGGGGTCCTGTTCTGGGTGAGGAGACATAAAGCCTTGCGTGTGATTAAATGTTTTGATTATTTCATCTGTATGATCCAGATGAGTAAACCGCCCATTAAGATTTTACAGTTTGCCTATGACTCTGTTCTTTGTCTTTTAGGTCCGATGGTTTATGGAATATGTTTCTGTCCTGTGTCCAGAAAGGAGGACTTAAAGGACCTAAAAGTGGCAGGTCAGATTAAAGTGCATGGATTTCCTTTGCTCTAATAATATACTGCATGTTGTATTTAGGGTCAAACATCTCTATAATATAACTTTACATGAGCATTTTATCCCTTAGAATTAAACAGGCTGTTTATGTTCCTGTGCTTTGAGACTGATATATGTAAATTATCTCTGACTGGTTGCCCTGGATTCAAAATTAGTCCAGGTAGAAACACTCCTTATAACTTCAGGGTGGGGTTAAACTGCTGTATGTAAACATGTTGGTTTTCATATCACAGAAACAATTAATTGATGACAGGCTGTTTTTTGCAGCTTAGTTTCCATATATGGACCGAGAAGTGAACGGTGTGCTTTGAAACTTTAGCAATGATTTTATACAACATTTAACTCTTATTTGGGAAAAGTGATGGAAATTCTGTTTTCCTTGATGGAGCTTCTTTAAATAGCATTTTTAAAATGTGGCACTACTGTTTTGTGTCTGTTCCAACTTTTCAAATCTCCCAAAAATGACTGTGATGCAGGTTATGTTCCATAAAAATGTCTTCAAGCCGGGATGTTATATTTTGCTATGTTGGCCACACATAGATGCATCCACACTATAATATTCTGCTGGTCTTGTGTGCAGATTCAAAGACTCTGTCAGAGACAGAGAGGGAAAATCTGTTTCTGAAGCTGGACGGAGCAAAGAGCTTTGTGGGCTGGGCACTTCAGATCCTCTCCCCCAATACCATCTCCACCAGCATGTTACAGAGGTACACACAGGGATCAGTGACGCATAAGGCTTTCAAAATGATGATAATGGGAAAAGAGATTATTTAAAAAGATTATGATGTGCCCTTTTTGTGTCTGTAATACTCTGTTCAATGTGTTGATATTTATTTCATAGCTTTTATCATATTGTAAATTAATTATTAATCAGGATCATACATTTTAAAAGCCTGAAAATGTCGGGTGTTGCAACACACATGAATGAAAAATATTAGATTTTTTAAATATTTGTGAGAGGGCTACAGACCTTGGCATTGTAACATGAATATGTACATGTATATATAGTTGGATGGTTGCACCACCCGACATTTTTAGACTTTATTAATAGCTAAAATGTATTTTATTTTAAATGCAATGAAAATGTATTTACATAAGGAGGTATAGTAGAATTACGTTGTATGTCATGTATTTTTTTACATTTATGAAATACGAAAAGAATGGACTTGCATCAATGTCAGTGACCCACTCACAGATACAGTAACATCTTTATCAGTTTGTTACAGACAGTAGGTGCTGTTAATTAGCTTGTGTTAGTTCAGTTAGTTATACTTTTGCCGCAGTACTTTAACATTAATGTGAATCGGAAATCACTTTTCTTCCTTTACATTATGCTTTTCTGAGCAAAACACGATGCTTGGGTGGCAAATAGTTGTAGGCGGGACATGATTTTATTCTTTAGGATTTGAATGGATCGTGAAACGTGGTTGTTCCGAAATGAACATGCAGTCAGACTCTGTCAGTCAGCAGAATCAAATGTTTTGTAGAAAAGCCAAAAATAAAATATAAAAATAAACACATTTCATCAACAATTGAATACGATGACTTTTTTTATTCTATTTATGTGATTTTTATTTATTATTATTATTTAAAAAAAAAAACGCAGATGAAGTGACACCTGTTAGCGGTCTAGCCTTTAATATCCACATTGCTTTCACTTTTCTTATGCTTTCACCACAAAAGCAAGAAAAAAAGACTTCAGGAAAAAAGAATTCGGGTCATCATTAAAATAAACCATGTATAAATGTAAAAAAAGTCCATTTTGATTTCAGGTTGACTTTAACTAAAAGGCCATAAGAGTAACATCCCCTTTAGCATTATGCAGTGGTATACACACACACACACACACACACACACAAACCAAAAAACTGTAGACACTGAGACACAGTAGTGTCCATAAGTACGCTGCAAACGTAAACAGACACAAAATACCAGCTCAACAAGTATTTTTTTTGGAACCACCCACACACGTGTCATCTTACTGATGATTTTGGTGGTTTTGCAATCAAAGAATAAATGTAATGTGATTTTGCATCAGTAGAGAATGTGTAATCTATTTCTCTCTCTCTCTGTTTTTGTTCAGGGCTAAGTATAATTTAAATGCTCTCTCTCATGATGCTGCCATTGGGCTGGTGCAGTATGCTCTGGACTGTGGGGTACAACTCAAAGAGGTAGGAACTGGAAAGATAATAAGGTTTAGTTTTACAATTGAGCCAATACTGGAGGGATCACTCCCAGCACAGTTGCGATTTTTAAGTACAGTAAATCAGAAGCATCTTCAATCACCTTGATCATTAGCTGATGAATTTGATCAGTGTGTAAACATAGGGTGAGCTCTAAATAAATGTGGCAGTTTTAACCTTCTTTTCTGTTCAAATAGCCAAATTCTTATACAAATAATATTCAAAAATCCCAGTGAGAAAATATTTGTATTGTTATGAATAAATAACAAATATGCAAAAGGTTTAACACGTGTTTATTGCATCTAGCTAACATAAGAGGCCATGTTTACCTGATCATGTCATGATTTAGTCATTTAACTTTGTGTTTGTGACAGTTAACATTTTTTGCTTTAGAAAATTCCATATACAGCTCTGTTTAGATGTTGCTTTCTGGGAGACACAATATCACTTGCGTGACTCTCTTTATTCTTGTCTATACTGCACAGCTTCATTAGTAAATAACTGGCCAGTAAAGGCTAAATAACACTTGTTATCAAAACAGTGAAGAATGTTAGCGTCTCTTTTCTTACAGGTGTTTGTGGACACAGTGGGGCCAGCAGAAAAGTATGAGCAGAAGCTCTCTCAGCGTTTCCCCGGAATTAAAGTGACTGTGCGCCCCAAAGCTGACTCACTCTTCCCCATCGTCAGCGCAGCCAGTATCTGTGCCAAGGTGACAACAATGCAATGCAGGGCTGAGGAGTTATTCATTTTAAAATTTAAATGCTGATTTTGATAGAACACGATTTTCAAATCGCCAGATCTGCGATTTTAATTAATGCGTTAGTAGCATCATTGTCTTAAGTTTTAAGAGGGGAAATTTAGCTCAGTAACTATGAGCTGCCTGTAGATGAGTTTGATGGGAACCAATTGACACCCCACTGATGTGCACCAAACAAAACCAAACCAAAACCTTCCGTCACCTCAGAAAAAGCAGTTCTACTGCTCCCCAGCCCATTACTGGGGGGGCTGTATACCCCTAACTGACACTTGGCATTTGACATGGTGACCTTAGGCTTAGTACATGTGGAGATCTTATAAACTGTATATGTGCAATAGATAACCTCAGCAGTGGGTACAATTGAAAGTAGCTGAAAGAATAATAATAATAATAATAATAACTTTGTTGATAAAGCACTTTTCACACTAGTGGCAGCTCAAAGTGCAGGTGGCAAAACTCAATAGTAAGATAACAAATATGAGTGAAAATAGAAATCATATAAGGCAATGTCATAGATCGAATTTTAAACATAAATAACAAAAGAGAAGTAGAGTTTTAATTAAATGCTAAATTAAAAAGATGCGTTTTCATGTTTCCTAAAAGTGAGCGCTGGGCTTGGCTGTCTAATAAAAGGTGGAATTGAGTTTCACAGTTAAGAGGCATAATAACTAAAAGAGGCCTCTCCTTGCTATCTGGATTTTATGGAAGGTATATGCAAAAGGCCAGTAACTGCAGATCTAAGATTGCATGCTGGAACATAAACAGACCAACATTTTGTGATATAAGCGGGTGCTAGGTCATTTAGAGCCTTAAAATCTAGAACTTTAAAATCCATACTAGAAGATACAAGCAGCCAGTGAAGTTCTTTCAAAACTTGGATGATATGAGCTCTTTTTTTGTTTATTGTTAGGATCCATGCTGCTGTGTTTTGTACAAGTTGTAGAAGATGGATTGGTTCATTAATTAGACGGACTGACTGGGGACACGTATGAGAAAACATCCTTCACACTATTAGAGCTGGATTTATTTTACTCAGGGTGCCTCTGTGGCCTAACATGTGGGATTCAACAGGCTGAGTCACACTGGATAACGTATTTGTGTAATTTCCCCAAATTCCCATGGATAGTGTTACACTACAGGACACGCTCAGTAACAACACTGTGCACTACCGTGTCTGTTAGCAGGTTTTGTTAGTCCATTAGCTTGAGATTAATCAGAACAGGACTACTATCACTGAGGGTTCAGGCAGTTACAGAAGATGATTTACTCCACAATTATTACTGTCAGACTGTAAAAACTACACACACTAGATTCATACTGGATTAAAATCACTCCACAATTATTACTGTCAGACTGTAAAAACTACACACACTAGATTCATACTGGATTAAAATCACTCCACAATTATTACTGTCAGACAGTAAAAACGTTAAAAAAAAACATTTTTTAAATAGCCACTGTCTTCTTTTCTGTCCTCCTCTACTTCTTATCTTCCTCTGTTAGGTGGCCAGAGACCATGTTGTGAAAGGCTGGAAGTTTGCTGAAGATCTGGGGGAAGTGGACTCAGAATACGGCTCAGGATATCCCAATGGTCAGCACCCACACACACCCTTCCTCTTCTGATTTCCTCACTGTAAACATGTTATATAAGCACAATAAGGCTGCACAAGACATTGTTTATGAATTATCACAGTATCATCCTTTCAAAGTGCTACAATATGAGCAAATGAGCTTTCTAAAAAAAACACACAATTACTACTACAGTGCTGTGAAAAAGTATTTGCCCTCTTCCCAATTTCTTTTATTTTTGCGTATTTGTCACACTTGACTGTTTCAGATCATCAAATTACTTTTAATATTAGACAAAAATAACCCAAATAAACTCAAAATGCTTTTTAAATGATGATGACTTCATATATTGAAGGAAAAATGTTTTTCAGCCCTACCTCGTCCCTATGTGAAAAAATGATTGCCCCCTTAGCTACTAAATCAACCAGTTAATCAAATTCAATTGACTGTTTGGTTCCATTTCACTGTCCACACCCAGGAATGATTACTGCCAGACCTGTTAAATCTAAACATCACCTAAATAGAACCTATCTGGCAATGTGAAGCACACTAGAAGGTCTCAAAAAGCAGCACAGGATGCCACGTTCGAAAAGAGATTCAAATACAGATTTAAAACAAAGTCATAATATAAGAGGCAAGTGTGTTGCATCTGAACTCTCTAGGACCAGGAATGGGCATAGATCTGTCCATCAAATGAGTCAGTCAAGATCATATTGAAGCTCACTGATTCTTCTGGATGGTGTGTGTGTTTTAGATCCGAAGACTAAAAGCTGGCTGTTGAAGTATCTGGACCCCGTGTTTGGTTATCCTCAGTTTGTACGGTTTAGCTGGAGTACAGCACAGACACTGCTGGACAGCAAAGCGGTCACTGTGCACTGGTAAGTCCACCAGCAGGGGGCAGTGTTTTACAGCTTGGCAAGATAAAAGGAAAGGCATTGGACTACTGTTAAGTAGCCCTATACATTTTTTAATGTCTGTATGTTGGCTGTTTAATGCCTTTATGGCAGGGCTATCCAGTCTTATCTGCATAGGGCCTGTGTGGCTGGGGGTTTTCATGTCAAGCAATCAGCAGCACACTTGTTTCTGATCAGGTGTGCTCCTGCTTTGTTGAAATAAAAACCTATAACTGAGTCCAGGCCCTTCACAGACAACACTAGACAGTCACATTGTGTTTATTCATAAGAAAATAATGGAGTAGGAATGTAAAATTGGACCAATCTGAAGGTAGTGATTCAACTGCATCGACTTTGTAAAGTTAAAATTGATTGCAGTTAGTCATAATATTCAGTAAAGTATGCGTTCATTTTTAGGCCAAAATATAGTTCACAGGCTATTTTCAAATGTAATTTTTTTGGCTGTCTATATATCAGTACTGTGTAAATATTTCATGCAGTCATATTTGTATATCTGGTGTATTTTTACTGAACTGTGCAAAAATAGTCAAATGGGGGAAAAAAATCAAATTGACCTGTGGAGAAATTTAAGACTTCATGATGCATGGAACCAATTTCAATTCATAATGTAATTAAAGGGCCCATATCATGGAAAGCTTTCCCCTTACTTTCTTTAAACAAGAGTTTGATGTAAACATAGTTAATGTTTCCAAATGTACCATTCTCTTCCCAGTCCATACATGGAAAGCAGTTATACCTTTATGTAAATGATATGTAAATTAGTCAAGCTGCATAAGCAATTTCTGATTCATCATTATAAATCAAAACTATTATAATGCAGACTTTGATTGGTTTAAAAACATAACTGAACACAGTGTTATTGGTGAGATTAAGTCAACAAAGACATTGTCCCTCATGCGCATCTTAATGATGTCAGCAAGAGTCGCTCTCAGTCAGGCTTGAGGCCTTGAAGGTTCCCGAATGGTCACCTTTCACTCAGTTTTACGGTGATGGGAATAACCAGTTCCAACTCCTGTACCATAGGCCTCCGTCATGTCTGGTAGGATAGATTGGAGATGGGCATAAACAAGTCCTTACATCATGTCACAGCATCCTTCTCAGGGGACATATCATAAGCCGTAGAGAGACACAAAGGTCAAAGAACTATATTCCTAGGTGGAAGAAATAGATTCTTAAGAGAAAATATTTTATATTAAGAAAATGCAAACTTGATTACGGGAGATTATCTGTATCTATATCAACCGGATTGTGCGATATGGGCCCTTATTTGTGTTATATTTGTATCCTATTGCAACACAGCCATTTTTAAATGTGTGCGTGCGCGTGTGTGTGCGTGTGTGTAGGGATGACGATGAGGAAGACGGGGAGAAAGCAGCAGCTCGGCAAAATAACACTTCCATGCTGTCGTACTTCAGCCGCAGCAAACCTACCAGTGCACCAACACGGGACACACACCGCTTCTTTACCGAGCGCAGATTACAGAGCATCGACACACTCTGAATACGCGTTCACACGCGTACACAATCATACAGACACACAATCAGAGACTGCAGAGGTCACAGAAATGTGCTCATTGTGTATAGATCTCAACCAACACTGTACCGTATGTTCTCAGAACCAGCTCCACAGCTTCAGCGCCGTCCAGAGTCTGCTGGACATGTCATACGTTTCATGTGTTTTATACATAATTTCTTAATGTTCAAGTAATAAATTGCATATTTTATACATTATGAACTTGGATTCATTAATGATTTCTCCCCACTCATTGTTTTTGTTGTTTATTTGAAAGTGAAAATTTCCCTTTTTGTACGTCATGCAAAATATTGGTGCTTTCCATCTTCTAAATATCTTTTACTTACCGAGAAAATGATTATAGGGGAATTCACCTGATTTTTCTATATTTCTGCTAAATTAAATCCTTGAGATGGAAACAAAGTCATTCAGAGTGTTTTGATGTGAAAAGCTTTATTTTAGAGTTCAGATTTCTTTACAGTGGTGCTGATGGGAACCAGGGGTCACAATGTCCACAACACAGATACAGCCATTTTATTTATTATGCAAAACCACCAGTGAACCTACACATCTGAATTCTAGATGTAATGCCGATAAAGTATAATAGTGATAAATATGATGGGGAAAAAAGCATTTCTAACACCTCTCAGCCCTCAAAGGCTGTTTTAAAGTACATTTTAGACCAAAACTCTAACTCATTATCATAAAACAACATCTCGGGCATCAGGCAGCATATTTTGTTAGTGTTTTATTTTGGGATTTTGTGTGTTTTTCATTTAATTTTTTTTTTCCTTAAGGGGAAAGTACCTTGTCCTTTTTGTACCTAGGCTTTTTTTTTACTTTCCCCACATATTTTCTGTTTTTTGTTGTTGTTTTTCCTTTGTATTTACTGTACCTTCTTGTACAAATAATAATAATACTAACCATTTCATGCAATAACTTTCTATGAGGGAGCCTTTAGGGGCTTTGACCCGTGGGTGGTGTTGATGTTTTTGTTACTCAGTGGTCTGGTGGACTCACCGCATTATTGTTTTTTTAAATCAATACAGCAATAAAAATGTATGTAAAAATATCAGATGTTTAAAATATCACAAGTGGTCAGCGTAGGGTCCACCCTCACATACACACACACACTAACAGCAGGCTATGTAGGAGGAGAACAGAGTGAAGGACACAGCACCTCCACACTCTTAAGAATCTGAGGTTCTAATAATAATAAATCACATTAATTATTCTTTTGGTAAGCATTGAAAACGGGTCCCACAGACCTGAACACCACACAGAGGTTAAAGCATTCAGATGTATTGAATATATTTCAATATTTGAAAATTTGATTATGTTCAAATATTAGTATTTAAATCCAATAGTTGGTATTAAAGGAAATCCACCTATCAAAATTCCTGCATAATTAACTATTTTATAAACAGAGTGGTTTGGAGTGAAATGCTCTGTTCTAGAGAAACTTACAGAGTCAGAGTTGCTCACAGTGCTGGTGATAAGAACCAGACGTCTGAAGAGTTTAACGCCTCTAAAAGCTACATTACATAAACATAATACATTAAATGGTTTAAGATATGCTGCCTGATGTCTGAGACAATGTTTTATGATACATTTTGGAAAGGATTTTATCCTAAAATGTATTTTTAAGAATGCATAGAACCCTTTTTTTCCACAGATGTATGACCATTTTTTCTTTATCAACATTACATATATACACTCAGAAGACTATATAGGTTCACTGGTGATTTTGGATCGTAAATAAAATTGCTGTATCTACGCTGTGGGCATTTTGACCCCTGGTTCCTATCAGCACCACTGTAAAGAAATAGGAGTTGGTTAAGTTTCTCAAAAGAGAACCAATTCACATCACACCGCTCTGAATGAGAGCTTATATTTCAACGATTGAATTATGTGGGGGTTTTCATCAGTCGGTGGATTTCCCGTTTATATACTTGAGTGAAGTACAGAGATGTGCTCACAGCGCTGTTCATCAAGGCTCCGCTCGTTCCTCCAGTACAGCAGGCGGCGCCACATACACCTTCAAAACAGAGTCAACAGAACCAACAAGCGCTTTCCGGCAGAGCCCAAGTGTGGTAAGTTAAATAACTTCACACATTCATTCAGAAATTAGCTTTATTTGGGTTTAATTGTCTTATGTGCTTATAGTTTTATTTCACTGTATACAGTGCCATAATAAGGTCCTTTGATTCTTCAGCCAGGTCAGCCAGCAGACTGCAGACTGCAGGACACCGTGCTGATATTTTATTAGCCAGTTAGCTAACCGGGCTGTAGATTTTCTCCGTTCCACCTTAAATGCTGCAGCAGTTCCATTCTGGCGCCTGAGCCGATGTAATAATAAATGCTTCATTATTTAAGGTGGAACGGCGAAATTCGAACGGGCTGGCTGGCGAATAGGAAGCTAACTTCAGCCTCGTCTGTCTGTCTTCGCTCCTTTGTGCTGATTTGTCGTCCTTATTGCAGATCAGTCTTCCTTCAGAGCTCAAACAACATGGATATTCGACCCAACCACACCATCTACATCAACAACGTCAATGATAAGATAAAGAAAGAAGGTGGGTGTAAAGGCATGCTCTAGCTCTCTGCTCAGGCTCTGCAGTTAATGAGTGCTGGAAGATGACCGCCTCAGTGCTGGAGACTGGATGTAACAGTACTCTACACTGCTGTTCTGTTGGGCCAGACTTGTGTAAAACCAGCCTCCAGTAAAACGTGTCGCTGCTTAAATGAAACATGAGTAAAGAAGAAGGAAAAAGTAGCCCACAAAATCCAGCCTGAGCCAAGAAAAACACCTCATGGAGTTGTAGGGGTGGGCAATATGGCAAAAAGACAACATGCGATACTTTTTCGCGATACTTTTTCACAATACACCATACACCTTTTGATATTTTTTTAGGTTCGAGACGTCTGAACTACTGAGCCTCTAAAGTACCACTGCAAAAAAATTGCAACAACACTGTGTTTTCTTGCATTAAAAAAGCATTTACAAGGGAATGTAAGTTTATTGAGAAAGTGGGGCACTCATATCCATATTTTTCATGTTCATCATTTTATCAGTGTTGATTCTATATGGTTTTATGTCTATATGCATTTATGAAAAGTAGAACTTGTGAATAAGTCCGCCTGGGTGTGCATTACAGAGCAATGCAACATTTGCATTAAAACAAATGAATTACAGATGTTTTAGCACAGTAATCCTGTGTCACCTTAACATTCTGCTCTTCTCAAGTCAATAAATGTATCATCAGATATCCATATAAAATAATATCCAGTCGAGTCAAAACGTCTTTCTGGTGCTGCTAATTTATTTATTTATTTTGAGTCGTCATGCATCCCTACCCGTAAGTGCCACATTTAAAAAAAATGCTGTCAAAAGTTTGACTGCAAGGACTTTTATTCTACATTCATGTCCAATTAAACAGGACTAATTATGCTTTTATTTAATGAAACATGCAGTTCTTCTGTGTTCTATAAGTACCCAACGTATGCATAAGAAGGTGTCACGATTTTATCATGATGACAATGAGTGTGTTTACATGCACTTAATAATCCGATAACTGCGGAAAATCAGATTTTGTCAGTAATCCGATCAACACGTTTACATGCACTTGAGTAATCAGATAATGGGAAACTCTGGGTCTACATGAGTCAGGCAGTAAGCAGATTTCTGCTTTGCAACCAGCCAATAGACTCACAGAAGAAGACGTGATGTAAACATAACTTAAAACTCAAACTTCATGCTGTTTTTGTTTTTAAACATCGAGCCGCTTTACCTGAAAATATGAACACACATCATCTAGAAGATGAAGAATATTTAAATCCTTCAATTCATGTTTGGATTCAGCGCCTCTCCAACAGTGTTTTGCTGCGTCTCGCGACATCGACCGTCTGATCTCATGCGTGCGCAGACTGAGAAATCCGATAGAAATAGGAGTACAAGTTTACATGCGCTGAGAAATCTGATTACTGAGCTAAAATGCAGCTCTCTTTATCGGGTTTCTTAATCGGATTTCTAGATCTGAGTATGGTGTTTACGTGACCATTTGAATAATCGGATAACTGCAGAAATCCGATTATGATCGGATTATTGAATGCTTGTGTACGAATGTATTCAAGTATAAATATGTGTTGTCATTTTAAAATGCTCAGAAAAGTGCATTTTTCCCCTTAGTGCATGGAATGGGGTACATATCACTTGCGAATGTTTGGTATTGACTAAAGAATCCTGTTTTTCCTCAGAGCTGAAGAGGTCACTCTACGCCCTGTTCTCCCAGTTCGGACAAATCATTGAAATAGTAGCACTGAAGACCATGAAAATGAGGGGGCAGGCGTTTGTCGTCTTTAAAGAACTTGCTGCAGCCACAAACGCACTGAGACAACTACAAGGTTTCCCTTTCTACAACAAGCCCATGGTCAGTATTAGAGGATTTATTAATGTTTATCTGTGGTCAGAATTCAGGGCACCTTTCACTGATAAGGCATTGAGGAATGTTATGAAGATAAATGGATGAGGCTGGTTGGAGATCAGAGCTGCTCCAAAAGTAACCATAAGTGAAATGGCATAGCATGTAAGCTAGTTTTGAAATATTTAAAGAATGTTTATAATGCACTGCATGTTCAAAAGTATCCAGACACTTGTGCTAATTAGTGAGTTCAGCTACTTTAAGGTGCACCCACTGCTAATCACAGGCTTTCTATTGCACACATACAGCTTGTATGAGCTCCATAGAAGAGCATTGACCCATAGTGTGGGATGTTCTGGAGCAGCTGCCCATGTCAAGTGTCGGCTAGAGGGGTATAAGGCCCCTGAGCAGTGGGCTGTGGAGCAGTAGAAGTGCATTTTCTACAGTGATGGAGCTAAAAATGAAAAATATTTAATGTTTTATCTCATCAACTTCATTATTTATTTTAAATGTATGCTCTTTCTGAAATTGGTGCTAATTCTTGTATACCATTCGTTTATAGCGAATCCAGTACGCTAAAACAGACTCGGACATAATCGCTAAGATGAGAGGCACATTTGGAGACAAGGAGAAGAAGAAGGAGAAAAAGAAGAAAGCTCAAGAGCAGGCAGCCAACGCTGCCAAGAAACCAGTGGTGAGTTGAGTTGCGAAGGTTAATAAGTCGATAAGAACAAAAAACAAGTCCACTGCTTAATGGGTTGTGTTTTCTGATAAACCTGCAGTGTTGCTTTTGATCTTATTTCAAAGTTAATGAAGTAATTTCCTGCATTTCATTGCTAATTTTTGATTACTAAACTTTGTGGACCAGTTTCTCAGACCCAGATTAAGCCCAAACCTAGATTAAAAGCAATTACCAGTGGTGATTCACCATTAGCACTGCAGTTTAGTCCAAGACTAGGCCTAATCCATCATGAATGTGTCTTTGTTTATGGATGGTGGAGTCTGTAAAAACATTTACTGGTGCAGTTCATTGGGTGTCTTATAGTGGTGCTTGAAAGTTTGTGAACCCTTTAGAATTTTCAATATTTCTGCATAAATTTGACCTAAAACTTCATCAGATTTTCACACAAGTCCTAAAAGTACATGAAGAGAACCAAATTAAACAAATGAGACAAAATATGAGACTTGAGGAAAATGATCCAATGTTATGTATCTGTGAGTGACAATAATATGTGAACCTTTAGGATTAGCAGATAATTTGAAGGTGAAATTAGAGTCAGGTGTTTTTTTTATTATAATTGCTGTAATACTGTATGAAAGTCTTTCAGAAACACTTTCAGAAACAAGCTTGCTCATTGTATAAATTCCTGACTGGAGGTTTAACTTGCTAAAAGTTGCTGATGTAAATATATTTTGACAGAATGCCTTGAACACACAGCCAGCTCCACCTGCTACAGTCCAGGTACGTGCATCCTTTAATTCTGTTGACATGTTTTTCTGACTTCCTTTATGGGCTGTTACATTATGCATCACTTCCATCTGTACTGTTTTACGGAACAGCACAGCATAACAGCACTGTGTTGAGCACCTTTTGTCCTCTTGTTTTAGGTTCCTGATAATCCACCCAACTACATTCTGTTCCTGAACAACCTACCTGAGGAGACCAATGAGATGATGCTGTCAATGTTGTTTAACCAGTGAGTACATTTTGAGCACTTTTCCTCACTAAATGTCTTAAATGTTTGGTTCAAAGGATTACAGTTTCCAGATTTTTCATCTGCAAATCTACTTTTCCACCACCCTGTAACTGTCATCTCGATGAACTGAACCATTATAAGTGATAACATCTGGTTTCAGTACAACCTCATTAGAGTGTGGTGAGTTTGAGTTTGAAGGGCAGAGGCAGTAAATCTTGTCTTAACATGTCTCTGCAGTCATTTAATTTTCCAACAATAAATGACTGGATTGTGCTTGAAACAACTTCTTCATCCCATCATTCCATTCCACAGTCAGATAATACAGGCATCTGGATAGATGTTGCCTGCTTGTACTCAGTTGCAAGGTTATAAAATCTTTTTGTCCAGCTGTTTTAGTCAGAAGTATGGAGTGTTTGCTAGGTGAGCCTATGGGTGAATGTGCCACTCATGTTAGTTAGCTAGCTTGATCCGCAGTTTTTTGGCACCCGTAACATTTTCCCTATATTGTACAGATGTACATACTGCAACCAACAAATGCAGATGAAAGCAAATGTCTGTAGCCTAATAGGTGACTAATAAATATATTCAAAGCTAAAGATCACTTTCCTCTGCCATGATGAAAGGAGAAGCTTGTGTAAACTCTGTCAGAACTGTTTCTGAAGCTTCCTTCATGTAATCATGATTTGAAGGGATGTGCACCTGTGATTTGAAGGGATGTCACGCTGTAGTCCTGGAGTGCTGCTAAAAGAATCACTTGTCTCTGAAATATCAAAAACCTGTAATATTTTGGGGTTGTTTTGTTACATCTTTTGAAAACGCCAGTTGTCTTACATTGTGTGAACAATTAATGATGAATGGATCAATACAAATGCTCCATAAATACTTTTGCACTGCCTGAGACGTTGTTATATGTTTTGAGAGGAAGTTTTGACCTAAAATATCTTTTTAAAAATGTACTTGGTGGGGAGTTGCATGCAGGGCGCTGTAAGGCTAATCAGACCCCAAGCAAGTTTATTTTCTTAGATGTATCACGACTTTACCATTATCAACATTACATATTAAAAACTCAGACACATGAAGGTCCACTGGTAGTTTTGGTTAGTAAATAAAATTAGCGCTGTAAACATTGTGACCCCTGGTTCCAGTCACCAACACTGTAAAGAAATGCATCAGTAAGTCTTGCTTAAGTGAACCATTTCACATCAAAACACTTTGAGTGACTTTGTTTACATCTCAACCACTGAATTAAGCAGAAATTTTGAAAGACTGGTGGAAGTCCCCTTTAAATTACCATTTTGGAGAAACAGTTCTTTCACTGCAGCAACAAATGTTAATGTCAGTAACAAATTAAAAAATCATTGGAAAAAATGCACAGTGGCGCCACTTCATGTCCCGTTGTGCTCCCTGCGCAGGTTCCCTGGTTTTAAAGAGGTGCGCCTGGTCCCGGGAAAGCACGACATCGCCTTTGTAGAGTTTGAGAGCGAGGCCCAGGCAGGAGTGGCCAAAGACGCACTGCAGGGCTTCAGAATCACAGCCACCTGCGCCATGAAGATCACCTACGCCAAGAAGTGATCACACACACACACAGGTCTCCCATGTTGGACTGAATCTGTGACCCTGATAAATGGGTCCTCCTTTTTTGCTTCCCCCACCTCTCTCTATTTTTGCTTACTAGTTTATTTTAATTGATTTTGTTTATATGTTTATGACTGTACAGGCTATTGGGTGTTCAGACAAGAGAGGGGGGGGGGTTGTGAGGGCTAATTATGTTGTTTTTTTTTGTTTTTTTTTATTTTGAATGCTAGAAATATTAAATGACTTTTATAAAACTTCTATGCTGCCAGCATCCTCTCTTACAGAAGGGCCCTTTAAAACCTTTCTTCCTTTCTTTGAATGTTAAAACTTTTCTTACTTTCACACATTTATGTATTTCACAAAATACAAATTATTGGTAAGACTTTATTATAACAGGCTCCTATAAATAGCAACTTAATAATTCATTAATAGTTTGAGAGTCATATAATTATTACTAATGCATTAATAAGTGCTACCATTCAAAGTAATGACAATATACTTGGCTACATACAAATAATTATATAAGTGTAATAAGTAAGATGCTATATGTTTGTAAATACATTATAAAGTCACAGCTTTTACTATATTAAAAAAAATATCACTTCATGATTAACTAAGCATTAACTGAACAAAAAGTTTATGCGTCACAAAATAGCGAGATTATTACTTGATATTTTCAATATTTTTGAGATATACTCAGTATTTGGGTATCAAATAACTAACCTACTATTATTAATGATTAGGTTTCTACAGATTTTGATTATTTTAGTGTCTCTAAGTCAATGGTTATTAATTCAAATGGTATCATCTGCTAATTGTTATTTACTTTCTGTAACAAAACTTAAATAATGATTAAGCTGCTGTTTATAGGGGACTGTTATGTTACAGTGTTACCACACTGTCATCTCAAAAAGAGATGCTGATAAGATATCAGTCTTAAAGGCACGGTCACAAAACCAGCCTTTACTTCTAAGAGATGGGGAGGTTGGAAAATGTGAATGCCTGTTTTTGGTTCATAAAACTACTCAAACATTATAAGTGGTCCCCAGGGGAAATACATAAAATGCAAGGAAAAGGTCAGATATGGGCCCTTTGATTAATAATTTAAGGATAACAGTAATAAAATATCAGTAAAATGCTAAACATCACTCAAAAATGGAATTAAATAAAAATTAATAAATAAAAACAACAGTAATATTTTGGTTTGAGGAAAAGAATCCAAACCCCGTCACAAACCAGGGAGCCAGCCGTATGTCTGGAGAATTGAAGTTCACTCTTGGGTGCAGGTACCAGACACCTAGCCAGCCCGTAAAACAATGGACTGATGCAGTTTTATAGCTGGACTGATTCCAAGATTAGGCCCAGCCTACACATGACAAGTGACAGGTGTGACAGACATGACCATGTAGGGATAAACAAAAATAGGCAGAACAGAATGTTCTAAATACAGTCACAGGACAGGCACACACAGTACTGAATATAATGACATTAGGAAACTTCTATGCAGAAGCCAGAAAAGATTCTCATTCTTTGTTTAAGGTAGAGCTTAATGGCATCTACTATATGCTGAAAGTGGCAGCTTTATATGCTGAAAAATATCTGTAATCCAAACGAGAAGACTGGAAAGGGTGGGCACAACTTCCATTTAAGAGGGAGAAGGTGCATGCTAGGAGAGACACAACTGCTACAAAGCAAGGGGGACATCCTTGGGTAGGACTGAACGCAACCATAATGAAGGCAGGTTTAATAGACACCTCAAGAACATCTGAAATTGTGCCCAAGATATCCAACCAGAAATTCTACATGGGACATAGCTGACTGTTGACCCCTGTCACAGGTCTGCTCTATATCATCATATATCTTATATTAAATTCTGCACAGAATCAGTCCACGTCTAGCAAAAATAAAAGAATGTATCTGATGCTGTATGCTCTCCCATAGCTCATCCAGGATTGCCTCCTCCTCCCGTAAACTGTTAATATTGTCCAGGGAGGGAGAATTTAGTGAGACAATTTTGTTATGAAGGATAGAGATTAATCCCCTCATGGTAGGCAGTGGTGACAAATAATCATCCAGGATGGCAGTAAATTTGGGAAATAAGGACGTGTTTCAAATGCAAAACTACTCATCTGAAGAAAAAAAAAAGATTAGATTTTTTTTCTGATAGTTGCTGGAAGGAAGCAAATGAGTTGTTTATATATACAGTACTGTACAAAGGGTCAGAGACCACATTTCATTTGTTTAATTTCCAGGCAAAATTAATATAAAATGATTCATTTTTAAGCATCAATGAAAAAGAGCAGAAAAAAACACCTATGAGCCAAAAAATTATGATCAGCTGCTTAATATGCTCTTGGTCCTCCGTGTGCTGCCCAAAAAGCTCCGACTCGTCGAGGCGTGGACTCTACAAGACCTCTGAAGATGCCCTGTGGTATCTGGCACCAAGACTGGCACCATAGATCCTTTCCTGTAAGTTGTGAGGTGGATGTGCAGCAGGTCGGACATATTTAATCCAGCACATCCCCAGATTTGGCGGCCTGGGCAACACTTTCAACTTTTCATCATGTTCCTCCAACCATTTCCGAACAATGTTTATTGGGGGATGCCATTGCCATAAAGGGGTGCACCTGGTCCATAACGATGTTTAGCTAGATGACATGTCAAATTGATGTCCACATGAAAGTCCAGAACCAGGGTTTGCCCGCAGAACACTGCCCAGAGCATCACACTCCCTCCACCAGCCTGTCTCCTTCCCACAGTGCATCCTAATGCCATCACTTCCCCAGGTAAACAACCAGGTAAACACCTGTACATCCACAGGATGTAAAAGAAAACAGGACTCAACAGACCAGGCAACCCTCTTCTGTTGCACCACGGTCTAATTCTCACATACTCATTGAAGGCCCTTTCGACCATGGACATGGGTGCTCTGACCGGTCGATGTGTTGTGACACATTACTCCAGTTACCATAATTAAAAACTTCTGAGACTTGTGCCACAGTAGCTGTCAGTTAAGACCAGACAGGACAGCCTTCGCATCGATGAGCCTTGGGAGCCGTGGTTTGTCCCTCCTCATACCACTGTCAGTAGGTACTCACTACTGCTGACCAGCAGCACCTCGCAAGCCTTGCCATTTTAGAGCTCAGGTCTTCACACCTGCCCATTTCTCCCACATCCAACATGTCAATTTTGAGAACTGACTGTTCGCTTACTGTCTAATATATCCCAGACCTTGACATGTGCGCTGTCACGAGTTAATCAACAACATTCACTTCATCTGTGAGTGGCCACAATGTTTTAGTATATACAACAGAAAGTAACAGAGGCCTCGACAACTAAATATAATATCATTTTTGTTCAGTATTTAGTGTGTCCAGTCTTTTCCTTCATTACTGCTTCCATTGTTTTTGAAAGACTGTCAGTTCTTCAGAGAAATCTGCAGGGATATTTTTCCCACACCTCCAAAGTTTAGTCTTAGAAGGTGGTTGTATTTTCTGCTTATTACAATCCAAATAATCCCAAACACATTCAGTGATGTTGAGGTCTGGACTCTGGGGTGGTCAGTCCATTGTTCTGAGAACACCAGCAGCTTCTTTGTATAATTTGCAAATAATGTTCTTTTTTTCCTATTTTAAACCAATTTAGTTCCAGTTTGTAAACCCTTCTTATGGATGGTAGATTATTTTATATCTCCTCAGAAACCTTGTGAAAAATGAACAGTTTGTACGTAACGATGGTTTTTGCACAGTGTTTTAGGCCTTTATAGGTTTTGATGTTATGACCATACCAGAAGGCACAGAGGGGAGCACAAAATAGGATTATTTAACACCAGTGCTGAGAGGATAAGTCTTTAACTCAAAATGACATTTGTTTCCAAACCTGTAGGATTGACTTCACAACTGGACACAAATTTAAAATCTGAATGAAAGTGTGATTTGATATCTGTCATGGAGCATAGAATGGAGAGGGTTTGTTAAGAGCTTATATATATAAAAAAATATATTGCGTCAGTGCAAATATTCAGTATTATAAAAATATATCAGTACACACAGTCCATATATGGAAAAGAAGCTGCAAAAACATTGGAACTCATTGTTGGAAATGGTAATGTAAGATGAATTATACTTGTTTTCTGTAAATAAAACAACACAAACGCTGTAAGTGGAGGGGAAAAAGTAGATGTGGCCCTTTTAAAAAGTAGCACAGAGTGTAGCAAGATGGAATACAGGTCACTCTCACTTTCAGACTGACCTTTTGAGGACCTGACATGTTCTTTCTCGTTTGCTCTCATCCAGACCTTGAAGGTATTCAGATACAGCTCTAAAGGAGCAAAAGTCCATCTTGTTGGCCATCTTGCTGGAGAACAGATGGTTTGGCCTGAGGGCCAAGGCCACTCTCATCTGGACTACTGAAATGGCCACTTTTGACACTTCTGCTTTCGTCCTCTACATTAATCTTTCATGGAGAAATGAATTCAAGGCTGAGCAATCTGTAGCACCACCGCACTGTCCTCCGTCGTCGTGAATCTCAGCATGTGGTGACAGTTTAATAAATAAGCAGCCTCTGCTTTTCTCTGCATCTGTAATACACTATTGATTTAACCGTCTGTACAAGGATGGTTTAATGATGCAGACATGCAGATCAGCATTTATAGGGATTAACTCATTACTATGACGACAGCAGCTTTAATTCTGCCTGCCATTAAAGCTGATGTGGAATTTGATGATGTTAAAAATGTTCAAAGTCATATTAACCCACTAATGTTCATATCTGAGATGGTACAGTTCCTATGGTCTGTACGTTGTCTGAGCTTGCCTGAGCACAAATCTGGAAAAAAAATTCAAATCAAGCAAAGCATATGGGTGAAAAGGTTTTACACTGAATTTATCATGTTAAAGTATTTTGGCTACAGGGCCACTGATTATTAACTAAACAGGAGAAAGTCCAAATTTGGTTAAAGGTATGAAAATTAAGGGTGAGCAGGGCACAACATTACACATTTTGTTTTTTTGTTGAACTTGAAATATTTAAGTTTGAATAATTATGTTTTTATACAAGCAACATATACATCTCTGCTATCAACCAACACTTCAACTTTGTTTCTAGCACCTACTGTTCATGTACAATTCCACCGAAAGTGACGGGACATGCAATGTTACACTTTACCCCATGGGTAGGGTTAATTGTAACAGAG